AAACAGGCAAAGCCAAATCATCCACAGTTTAAAACAAAAAGAGAGACATAGTTAGAAATGGTATTCTAAGTAAGCACAGTGACAACTCTTCTGCAAGAATCACTATGTACACCACCAAATAAAAGAGCAATGTTAAATAACAAGTCCCTTTCACAACACAAACAGCTGCTGAAACGTATTTAATGGCCTAGTTAGCCTTAAACTGATCTAAAAAATATTAATCCACAGGAAACATAGGCAAGTGTTTTTACTTTTCTAAGCTGCAAACGCTGAGCAGCATAAGCGTTAATTATCCACAGATGGTAAGTCCCTTCCTAGTGGTTTTTGAAATTAACAGAATTCCTGTAAATGGAGTGCACATGCTTTATGCGCACGTACCGTGAAAGGAAACAAGACAGAATTCCACAAGCAGGATCACTTACTCAAAAAAGCAAAGTTTAACAGTAGATAGGTGCATCTAAGAAAGTTAATAAAGTATTACAAACCCATTTTATATTACGCTATTAAATCAACATTATGTACTTAGAAGCCAACATTTCCTTCTATTATTCTATTTTCAGTTTGTGCTAATATATTTAACTCTTTGCATTCACTGGTCAAGTCAAATTTCTGAAACACCTCTTTGAAAGCACTGCCAGATTTCAATACTGTTTTAAAATAATACAGCCGTCTAATAAAAGTAGCCTAGGAAGACCTTAAAATCCAGGGAGAATTATATGCCTAGCTATTACAATTCCTGACTGAAGTAAGCAATGCGAAGCTTCTCCTTGTGCATATTTGCAAGGCTGTCTCAGGAAGAGTCACAACATACCAGGTTTTTAAAAAGCAGTAAAATAATAGAACCATCTAAACTACTTCAGACGCTACTGTAATTGTAGTGTCTAAAATGAAGACGAGAGACAAGATGCTTCACCCGTTCCTATTTGTACCTGCATGAATGACAGATGACATTTTTTGTAAAAAACTTAACACTTGCAGGGCCGGCTTACAGTGTCCTGAAATGAACATAGCGAACATTTAGCCCATTGTTGTAAACCGATATTACTCTTGAATGCAAAACCATGCAATTTTAAAAAGAAATAAAGTAATAAGGAAACTTGCAAAACATCCACGAGCTTTCATTAGAAGTCTGCCTAGGGCTAAGGTTGCTCAATTTACAGGACAGTAGATCTAAGATTTTCCAAATTAACGGCCCTTGGTGCAAGTTTTAAGCTTATTACATCACAAAGACTTCGGTAAGCTGGTTATAAGCGTGCTTTTCAATTACAATAAAAACACCACCACATAGTAATAGTGCAAAAGTAACAGAGCAAAAGTAAATTAAAACAGCAAGAGGAGACCTTTCATTACCTTTCAACACTACATCTGAGCCAGTTGTTAATACACCGTAAAGAGATGCAAACGCTAAATGAATTCGTTTGGCAGCAGGTGCATACAATTTATAAATTAGAAGCCATTTAAAAGCACTCGGAGTGCACGGCCTGAAGCCACCCGGAGCTGACAGGACCCGGCCGGGACTCGCCGCCGCCCTCCTCACCTCCCGCCTCTCCCTACCCACGGGATTCACCTCTGCCCCCTCAGACCCCACCGACGCTGGGTACGCGCGCGAAACCAAACAGGAAGTAATTAGAGTGCTGTTTTTCTTAATTGCTCCAAGGGGGCGGGGGGGAAGCTGGAAACCGCGTACGAGACAGCAGCTTTTACTGGAAAGATTTCATTTCAGAGCGCTCCAAACTGATGCCGGGTTGTTATCCCCCAGCTACTCCAGCCACCGACGCCGGCAGC